ATTGGGTCAAACAAATTGGTAATCGCTCCTCCTTTTCTTCTTTTTTCTGGAAAAGGTTTCGAAATCTTTTGATGAAGGAAGGGGGGAAGATGCGAATGGAAGAATAAGCGGCCAACCAACAGAGAAACAATTGTGAAGAGAAACAAAAACAAGAAAAAGCCAACGAAATAGCGGCAGCGGGAGGAGGAAGAGGAGGAGGAAGAGGTCGACGAAGAGCCAAATTTCAGTCGTTGCAGAGCATGTCTGTTTTCTTTATTTATTTATTTATTTATTTATTTATTTATTATTATTATTATTATTATTATTGTGCTACCATTTTTATATTCTAAAAGAAGCCACGCCTATATTCCCTCTCTCTCCCTCCCAACATATAATATAAATAGTGGTTATCCAGTATTTTGAGAGCGATGAAGTTTAGGGTATTTTCGTCATTTTACTTTCCCTAGCAAAAATATATTTGTCTTCCATTATAAATTTAATACCAAAATTTTAGGTGTCGGCCTCAGCCTAGTTTAACAGACATGGATGTATATACTCACCAACTAACAGAGCTTGATCTTGTTGAATTAAAATAACCATGAATTTTATCTATTTAATTTTTTATATACATCTATTTAATTTTTTATTTATTAAACTCACCTAAATTAAAAAAAATTAAAATTTTAATAGACTATTATTTTTAATACAAATTGAGACCTAAAATATTTTTAAAAATGGGAGATCTATTATAAATAATAAATAAATAGACGCCTCTAAACTTATATTATAAATGAAATTGTAATCTAATCATTCATTTATAATTCAGTCAATTTTTACTATTTTTTAACCATCAATATTTAAAATGTTAAAATGGTTAAGGTAGGTTTAGATTAATTCATTTTTATTTTAATTAATATTTTATTTTGATCCTTATTTCAACTAAATTTTATACAAAAATAGATTCCATTCCATTTAAATTTTGTAGTGTGCCACAATTTTGACAAAAAAAAAAAAAAGGATAAATTTGAAAAATAAAATAATTAAATTAAATTATAAATTTAGTTGTGGAATTTAAAATTTATATCTACCTAATTCATAAATTGCAAACTTTAAATTTATAAATTTGGAGTTTTTAACAAATTAAGTTATATTATAAATAAATTTGAATTGTGGGCCAATAAAACTCTAAACCAAACTCAGTAAATTTTATAATATTTAAAATGTTGAACCAACATTTTAATTTTAAATATCAAGAAACTAAATAAATTAATTAGTAATTATTTACCATCATCTAAAAAAACAGAAAGTCAAAAAATCATACAACATACGACACCGTTTTGTTTTTTCGCGGTGGACGTATACTGCACCGTTTTATTATTATCCGTGGTCACATACGACACTGTTACAACTAGGAATTTTGTTGTTACATTTAATTGTGAAAACCAAACCCCAGGGGTAGGTTAACGAGCCGCACATAACCATGTGTTCGTTTAATTTTTTCAACGATCGGAAAGATGTCCACGTGGATTGACGGTGATTTAATCCAACGGTTTGTGTTCTCTTGTTTTCACCACGAGGAACGGTCAAATTTGCTGGTAAAAAACATAATATATATATATATATTTTTTTTTCCCCTCTCCCGCACTCTTGTCGTTACTGTGGGGCCCATCGCCAAACCCGTCGGCAAGAGAAGATGGAGACGCACTCAACATGAACACGCTTTGGTCTTCCATTTTTTATTTTCCCATCTTTTTATTTTTTTGCACTGATAAAGAAAAACATTACGTCTTTCTACATATTCCTCTCTCTGACCAAAATACCCTTCGGATTGGATTTCAGCGGGGCCCACTTGTCTGCTTACGTGCTGGCGAGTAGCCTTCCCACAGCGTAGGGTCTATAATATTACTATATCCCTTTGGTCCCGTACTCTAGAATATATTTTCCTATGTTGCTTAGTGTATTTCCAATATTCCGATTTTTTTTTTCTTTTCATTTTTTACTTGATGATAATATTTTTTATTTTTTATTTTTATATTTTCAAATTTATTTAAAACATATTTAAACTTTGTAATTATTTCAAAATATATATTTACATGTAAAAACTAAAGAAAGATACGAGATATTATGTGCCTATATAATTTGTTATAATCGCTATTATTATTTATTTTATTTTAAACTATGTAATTAAAATTATTTATATAATCACGTATAAATTACTATATTAATTTACATTCCAACTCGTATGAGCAAAAAAAAAAAAAAAAAATCAAATACATTTTTACAATAAATTTTAATGTTTGATTGTAAAAATGAATATGTTCGATGTTTATAAGCATAATTTAAATTTAATCGGACGAAAAATTAGTTTTTATATAATATGATGAGAATATTATCCATCAAAACTTCAAATTAATAATTATATTTAAACTTTAATAATTAGGTTAATTTAGAGGTAGAACTATCTTTCAAAACCATAATATATGCGAGTGAATTATTTGATTAAATTAAATAATATTTATAAAAAAATTTTATGGTGTTTTGAAAAATATATAAATTATAAAACGAGTAACAAATAAAAATTAAAATATAAAAGCTATAGTTTTACTTTTACTGTGTTGTAACTTCCTTTTGTAGTCGTTCTTGAATACAAGTATAATTAACGGGAAATACCCAATAATTTCGGTTACAAAATTATTTTAATCAATGGAATTTAGCTCTTCTTTTAATAATATGATATTCTATCTTATGGATTCGACTAACATTAAAAAAAATACAAATTATAAGTAATTGGACCACCTTTTATATATATATATATATATAAATAAGAATAAGTTAATATTTTAAATTTGTCTTTTTCCTCTCTAAAATTGTAATATATAAAAAGTTTAGTCCCACTTTAAAAAATTATGTAGCTCTATTTTTGGAATTACTTTTACAAAACAAAAGAATTAAAATCAAATTTTAATTACTGTAGTCCACGAACTAATGATAACCTACTTTACTTATTTTATTTTATTTTATTTATTTATTATTATTATTATTATTTGGTTTATCCCACTTTTCTTAACGTATATTTGGGAATTAACGCCGAGTTCTTTTATAATTTCCTAATATATATATTTTTTTATTTCAGTTTCATTCTATTTTGCTTTTACTTTTAATAAATCACAAAATTAATATTTTGATACTTTATTCTAAAATTTAATGGAAAACAACAATTATCTAAACCTATTACTTATAATAAAAATATAGTTAAAAACAAAAATCAAAATATTATTTTGACAACGACTCACAATAAATGATTTCAATTAATCTTATTTCTAAAATTTATTATTATACACCACACGCCGCCTAAATTCAGAAATTTCAATACTAAATGCTTGCTTCCAAATATTTGGATAAATGGATAAGCCACTCTATTTTCTTCCTCAAAAACAAAATTAATATTAAAATAAATATAAAGATTAAAATATATATTATTCACGAAAATATTAGACTTCAAGATTATATATATATATATATATATAGGCTAAATTGACGCTTTAGATTTAGAGTTAGTCGATGATTACGCGAATATTGAATAAAAATATCTCGAAGTAAATGTTTTTTTTTTTTTTTTTTTTTTTTTTTTTTTTTTTTTTTTTTTTTTTTTTTTTTTNTTTTTTTTTTTTTTTTTTTTTTTTTTTTTTTTTTTTTTTTTTTTTTTTTTTTTTTTTTTTTTTGTGTGTGTGGGGGAAGAAATTGCATTAGAATTTGGAGATGACAGAAGAACTGGGAATGGAGGGATATGGGGAAGTTTTAATGAGAAATTGGCAGTTTGCGTGCAGGGAATGGAGGATGGCATTATTTAAGAAGGAGACAGACTGGAAACTAAGCCATAAAAATCGAACATTTATCTCTCTCATCGCTCCTCGCTTCCTTTTTTTTCTCCAATCGCTCTCTCCCTGCTCGGCTACAACCTGTACCTCTCGCTCACATCGCCAATGCCTATTCTATCTTCAACTCATCGCCATTTATTTTCTTTTTCTTTTTTATCAAAAATTAAAAAAATCCAAACTTATAAACTTCACAAGATGTAACTTACTTGCAATTTCACCTAATATTAAAATCAAGTTGTCCGTTCTCGATCCCAGTCACCAATTCTCAGTCTCAATCGTTAGTTATCATTCCTCAATCGATGACCACTAACCGTCCATTTGGTTATCGATTCTCATTTCTAGTCTATGATTAGTATTAACGGTCGAATAGGTGATTGTGACTCGAGTTCTTATCACTTAATTAAAGAATAAAATCAATGACTTATACTTGGGACCAAAACTAGTTACTAAGGCATGGGATCGACAACCGGTGCCCAATAATACTGACTACCTCTCATGACCGACTCCAACAATCTCATATTTTAAGTTCTTAGTTCATATTTTTCCTAGGCATTCAAACACGTTGATATCTATGAGACGTCTAATCCTACGACATTTGAAAGGCAAAGTAAAGTCAAGGTCATTCATTCTATGTTATATATTTATTTTGCTACCTAAGTTTTTGGGACAATTAACTGAATTAACAGTGGTTTTAGTTTAATTTAACCATTTTTGTACCTATCTTAATATTCCTGTTTGTTTTAAGATATATTAAACACATAATTAAATGTTTAATTATTATATAGTTTTAAAAATTAAAAAACTAAATAGAATATAACTATAATTTTACCATTTAGATATAATTTTGAAGCATAGGAGGAGACAAAGTATTTTAGCTTCTGGTTTATGAACTGGGCCGCTTTTAGAAATAACAAAAAGCTACTAAGCCCATCTTTATTATCAATCCTTTATAAACTATAAAATATATCTATATCTTATTTTTTATGTTTATTATATGAAAATTATTATTATTATTATTATTTAACCAAATTCAATCAAAATTAATTTGAAATGTAAAAAAAAAAAACATTGGGTTAAAGCATTGTGTTTCTTGCGGAATATCCATAGCGGCTTCTTCTGGAATTACTACGACGTTTGATGCAAATGAATCCTAAGAATCCCAACAAGCCTGCTCCTATAATCACTCCAAAGCCAATGCCTGCCTTTTGTCCGCCACTCAGTCCTTTTGAATCTGCACCACCCTTTTCATTCAATGCTTCGTTCGTGGTCGGCGCCGGTGGCGGAGATGAATTTACATCAGGCGAAGGTGCGGGTGGCGGTGGTGGAGTCTCAGTGGTATTTGATGGTGGCGGTGGCGGAGGCGGACTGCCAGCTGTGTTGGATGGCGGTGGCGGAGGTGGACTGCCGGTTGTGTTGGATGGCGGCGGCGGAGGTGGACTGCCAGTTGTGTTGGATGGCGCTGGCGGAGGTGGACTGCCAGTTGTGTTGGATGGCGGCGGCGGCGGCGGTGCACCATCAGTTGTATTCAATGGCGGTGGTGGAGGAGGAGGAGATGCATCTTGAGAGAGAGTAAAATTTGTGAATTGAAAGAACACAAAAATGAGAATAAAAACAGAAATTCCAATCCTTCTTGCCATGAGGCTACCTATGATAAAGATGCACATAAACACAAATATTTATACACTTTTAATATAAATACACATTCTTGAAAGCTTTAAGAGCTTTAATTTATGTTCTGTCTTGTTTTATTTGTCTGCAATTTTAAGATTATTGTGTGCATAAAATTTATGTAAATTTTATTTATGGGGTCTTTTAAATGTATAAATTAGCCTTCAAAACTTTACTTTTATCGATCAAAGATTATTTTAGCTATAGAATCAAATGGCAGGCGTAGCCGGCTGCCTACAAAACCAAACAATTAAATAGTATGCGTAGTTAACGTTACTTAATATTAACATTACTTTATAGAATATTAATACTTGATTCAAATTTACATCAAAATTAGGTTGTTTATTTAAAGTATATTTTGAATTTTGTAATTCAAAACAATAATTTTTTAAAGCTAAGATTTATATGTTTTTAGTGTATCTTGATATTCAAGTTGAAATACATAATTATATTTTAAATTATGTTAAATTTATGTTTTTAAAATTTTAATTTATAATTTCATTCGCTTTTTATTACTTATGAATGGGTGTGGATGGAACGTTAGGAAGAGCGTTTGGGCCGGGCCTTGATTATTATGGAATTTGAGCTGAGCTTTTGTATATAAAAGGGATGTAATTGGGCTTCTTTGATCTTTGAGCCCATTAATTTCTATCATTAACGGGTCTACTGAGCGTCAACTTAAAACGCCGACGTTTTATACTCCTCCGTAAATAAAAGCGCAAGAGCTCTCGTGGATTCTCTTTATAAAGGCCAATAGTGGTATCTGGAATACTGACGAGAGCCATTTTTTCGCGCGAAAGTTGAAATTGCTCTGTTGAGAAGTGCGATGATTTTTCGTTCGAAGTTTTTGGTTGCTCGAGATGCTGTAAGTAAACGCCGTTCCACTTCCAGTGATTTTCCTTTCACAAAACGATATTGTTTCTTGTTAGGTCTTGTAAATACGAAGTTCTTTACGATTTTGTTTAGTCGAAGAGGAATCCAAATCGTTTATTGAACTAATAACGGTGATTTCTCACTCTCGTAATCCTTGATATGAAAAGTTTTGTTCGTCGATCGGATTAGATTAGGTCTTTTAATTGATCGATTTATCTCTTAGGATGTGTACGGTCTGATGTCTCAATACTTAATATCTTGGATTTTGCCATTTCGAACTAGCTGCGGCAGTGCTGGTTATCGTGAGTTCAAATTAGACTCCCTCTGAACATATTGTTTCTACAATCAATAGTCGTGATTGTAGTCTTATGAATCTTAATTGCGTTACGATTTTGATTAGTCGGAGAGGAAACCGAACCGTTTATTTAACTAGCGATCGTTATTACTCAGTGTCGTAACTCTGATGATAAAAATTTTTGTTGTTCGTCGATCAAATTAACTTAGGTGAGTTAGTTGATTGATCTGAATCATATATCGATTTGTCTCTTGTGCACGATTCCGATGATTAATAGAATCTCTCTCGATATAATTTATCTTATGTTTTGCATAAATCGCTGATATTCCTTGTTCTTCTAACTTTAAATTAAAAATGATTCCTCGACGAGCGTTCAGATATTTATTTTTTATCTCAGAATTTTGAAGACGATTTGGCGTCAGGAGTGATTTACGTGGATGCGTGTTTTGAATTGCTACCAGAAGGTCCGGAACATATTTATTGGTACGTATTTTGATGATTTTACACCGTGATACTCTTATAGTCTTTTATAAAGTTCAAATCGTGAAGCAAGTACTTCGAAAATCTAGCAAACTTCTCTGAATTTTTTTCTTGCTAATTTATTTCATTTTTGTGCAATTAGAACTGTGATACTTTTCGATTTGTTGAATATTATGTCCGGTAGAAGCTTGCACTGATTCATTAGATTTCGTACATTCGAGGCTTGAGTTGTGTTTCTTTTTAGAAAAGGAAAAGATAAGAGTTACTGCTGCCTATCAACATTGTGATCTGAGTCTTGGTTTTATTCATTTAGGAACTCTCGGGTTGTAATATTATCTCAAATATTTTGTATAAAACAACTTTCCTAAAATAAGTTTTTTAAGCATGCTATTTCTCTTATTAACTTTTTAGTCATTATTTTTGAATAGTTCACGTCTAACCGTCTTCCAGTAGTCTTAATTTATTGTACATAATTATATTATCTGAAATATCTTATACAAAACAATTTTCCTGCTTCTCGTTACTCCTAATTGCTTCTAGGCTTGAACTCCCAAAAAAAATTATTGTTGGTTTAAGTATTCTCTTCCTTCGAAGTTCGACGTCTTATTGTTTCTTAATAGTCTTAGTTTCCTTTAGGTTTATGTTGTTCTTTGATGTTTTTCGTCATATATAGAATGACTTTTTTTCGTTATTTATTATTAATGTACTCTGTTCAGTCTATACACTATGATACTTATGGAATAATTTAAGTTGCTTAAAATACCATCCTGAGTAAATCATATGCCAGTTAAGGATACAAAATCAGAAAATTCCAGTTATCAATCAGCCTTCTTTTGATTATGACTTTATTGCTCCCCGTGCTTATCCTAAAGCTGAGAAAGAAAAATAAAAAATTCTAAGAGCTTTAGTGAAGGGAACAATGAAAGATCTTGGGAAGTCTCAAAACTGCGACATCCTAAAACTTCTCAATTTTCTGGATTTATCATTGAGTGTTCTTTGGTTTCTTTTCCATCAAAATTAGCACCTAACCGTACAAACTACAGTACCCTTATGCTTGAGAGGGTTGCCAACCAAAGGTAGCTCCAAACATTTTCGGATTAAGAGAGTGTTTCAATAGTTGACACCAAATGATTTTGGGTTGGAATATTTAACTTTTCTTGTTATTTTAATCTCTATTTACTCTTAATGGAGTTAGATTAGAGAGATTTGTACGGGCAGACATTTAGTTCACTTCCATCCAGTGTCCAAAATACTCGTTATCAACAGATGTATTGAAAATGAAAAATGTTGTGTAAATTTTATCTTTTTTTTTTTTTTTTTTTTTTTTTTTTTTTTTTTTTTTTTTTTTTTTTTTTNTTTTTTTTTTTTTTTTTTTTTTTTTTTGCACAATTAGGTCGAGAGAAGAAAGTCCTCCAAGAATTAGTGTTGGAATCCCCACAATCTTTAATCAAAACAATTGAAGAGTTGAAAATTTTGATTGAACAAACTTTTAAGGGATTTGAACCAAAAACTCACTTTTTCCTTATCCTTAGTTCTAAAGAAGAGATCCTCGTTTATTTTCATACAGATGAGAGAACTTGTAGAATATCAAGTCTTGTGATCATTTTGATTGATATATATTTTTCTGAGGAAATTATGGTTGATATATTTTATTTATTGTCTAGAGGGGAAATATGTATCTCGGTATTGCGCTATATAATATTTTTTTTTTATTGAGAATATCCCACTCACATCTTCTCACATGTACAACACTAAAGAAATAGGTGGCATGTACAGTGTCATAGAAACCAAATAATATTCATATAACCCAAGACAATTTAGGTAATTCTCAACTTAAGTTTTGTGCATTCTCTAATAAACATTTTTGTCCATCGAAAATACCACCAAACTTATCCCATATATATTCTAAGTGATCCGAAGCACTTCCTAGTTCCTATTTCAGATGTTTGAGTTTGGTTACTATTTTAAAACACTTTTCAATAAAGTAAGAACACTATTTTCAAAAAAAGAAATTAGTTCATGTCTTTTTTTTTTTTTTTTTTTTTTTTTTTTTTTTTTTTTNTAATTCTTCTCTTTCTAATATCTTTCTTGACAGTTTTTTCTCTCGTTAATTTCTCTTTTTGCACCATTTCTTTCTCCAGCTTCTCTCTCCCATTTTATCTCACTAATTTTCGTGACACTAACTTCCTTCTCTAATTTACTCTCTTCACACACACTTGTTTGTACTAGTCTCTCTACAGTAACGAGTCTCTTGTTAATATCTCTCTGCAAGTATTATCTCATTTGTTTCATTTTTGTGATTTAGTTTTAATAATTTTAACATATTTGATTGTGGTGATATGTGAATTCTAGAAACTAGAAGCATCTATAGTCTGTATTTTACCAAGTACTTGTAGATGACTAAAAGTATGTTGCGAAAACTTGGTTTGAGAATTTTAAAATAGATAGAAATCGCTTTAGATGGATCATTTAACTAATCTTTAAAACGTTAGTAGGATGAATACTTGTTTTATAACCTTCTATACTTATTTTACATGTTCGAAGTACTCCATCAACTTATGGTCATCAGGGGTGTAACTGATTTGATTCGATTTGGGTGTCTAATCTAAGCCATAAATGTTATGGTCAAGTATATATTTAGGAGGGATTTTGAAATTGCTAAACTGCTTTTGTGAGTTTAAAATTACTTAGAACATGCATCAAATGATTCAACCATTTTTAAATTTGCAGGATGAATTTGATAAAATTCCTAGTTACTTTGACCATGAAAGATTGATCAAAAGGGCTGTGTACACATTTCTTGTTCCTAGTAATATAGGTTTGAGAATCATGAGCGAAACTTCAAACGTTGTTAATAAAACATTGAGACTAAAAGCTTCTGCATGTTGCATTGTGTGCATACTTTTCGATAGTTTACATCTTGCACTATCTTTTAGGAATGAGTTCGAACCAATATGCATCTGGACTTCGCGTTGATGTTGAATTTGATGCATAAGCTTTGAAGCGAAGTAATTGCAACTGCAACATGTCGCAGAGGTTTGTTCCTCTACCAACGCTTTTCTTTCTTTTTCTCTTTCTTGCACATCTACAAAGTCAGAAAATTCTCAAAATTATTCATATTAATAGAACAAGAATTCTAACAAAAAGATCAATAATCTTAGCAATAAGTTAGTGCTAGCATTTCAGAAAGTTCGTAATGAGATAATTTCAAATTTCTTGCTGAAAACAATTAAGGTAAATATGATGTGTTCCCCTTATGTTTATACAACCATTTGGCAGAAAAGTTTTCTTAATAAAAGGGTTACACGGTTGTTTAACTTTCAAGTGGGAGGGTGCTATATAGAATTTCTATTCTTTTTTAAAAAGAAATTAAATAAAATAGAAAATTTTAATTTACAAATGTATTTCTTTCATAACGAAGCACTTGAAGTTTAGATAATATTTTTAGAATTGGAGATAAACTTAAAAGAGAATGATGCAACAAAAAAGAAAGATGAGTTAAGAAGATTTCCTAGGCTTAGAAAAGAAAAGTCTAATATGAGAAAGAAAGCAATTGAAGGAAAACTAGATTTTCCAAGATGGAAAAGAATGAAAATGAATGAGAGAAAGAGTTTTAGTTTTAAAATTTACTTACATTTCCAAAATTTAAATTTAGAAGTTTAATAGATTGTTGAGGCTTTGTATGATAACCGAAATTTTTTGGTTATTGGTTTTTCTACCCTCTATTCTTCTCTCCCTGCTTTTTAATCGATAAAAAACAGAAAATGCCACTGAACATTCTTTTTTCATTATCTATAAGAAGACTTCTTATTGCGTTTTTTATCTTAAATAAAAATGTTAGGGAAAGGAACAAGTGAAAAGGTTGGGGGAGAAATCTTAGAGGTGAAAAAAGTAGGGGAAAAACGCCATAGATTAAAAAGTAATTTTAGAATCATTAAAACACTAAAAAAAAGAATTACCAAGGAGGGAAAAAACGCCACAATTTCCAACTAGCTATTATTAAAGATTAAAAAGTAATTTTAGAATCATTAAAACACAAAAAAAAAAAAAAGAATTACCTTGGAAAATAATAAATAAATCGTGGTAAAGTAAAGTTATGGTTAGAGAAAAATGTTTAACAAAAACTTTTAAGTAGAAATAAGTAATGAAGGGAGAGTTCTTAGTATGAAATAATAGTCCTTTTAAAAGTCAAAATTTCTATGAATTATTCATTAACGCTCTGGTGAGACCTATTTCCTTCAACCTAAACATAAAACATGAGGATTAGACTTCCATTTTTTTTATTTCCATTTATACTTTCTATCAATTAATGTCATTGATGTCTTTATGTATATTTGTAGATGTCTAAGATCCTGAGCAACAAATACGACGCTGGCATAATCTCCTCTTGCAGTATGATGTAGTGTTATCAACTATGACGACTAGAAGTTCAAGTTTGAATTTCTGGGAATACTAGATCAGCGGAAAGGAAGAGCACGCACAATGTTTAGTAGACCAATCTCCCTAAGACATCAAGTTGTATAACATATTTTTTTTCTACTCAACTTTTTGATGTAATTAAGTACCCATTCTTCCATAAAAAAAATAAAGTACTATTGTAATAGTTTTAGATATCAAAGTACAAAAAATAAAAATAAAAATAAATAAATAGTTTCTCTTTAAGAATTCATTGGACTCAAGATATTTCATCTCTTTGCTCTCGGGATAGGAAAGAAAAAAAAAAAAAAAAAACAATTCCCGACCACCGCCGATAGAAACTATAAATAGCCACGGGTTTCTCCACTTATCCTACTATTTCCAAATACGCATGGGGCACGTGGTTTTGGATTTTGGTTTATTTAAGCTAAGTTGAAGGACCGTGATCCTTCCAATTCGGCTATTTGTAAGAACACCCTAATGCGATTGCAGTCCACGTATTAATCTAAGTGATGGAAGAGTTACATACACGGAAACAAAACGCTTAAGATCGGAGCTATACTCGATGCCTTCGAATTTGACACCCTGAAATCCATACCTAAACTGAAATCCATACCTAAACTGAAATCCATACCTACGTAAAAACTTCATACTTCTCCTTTCCAGAGCTTCGATTTTCAGAGGAAACATGGATGGAATTTTTGGTGTGATCGATGACAACTTTAAAGTGTCCATAGTGGATTCAACCATGATGTGGATTGTGCATCGTGCTATGGACAAAGCTCACGAAAGAGTCAAGTCTGGAGAAGGCGTTATAGAAAGATTACATGAGATATCAAAATTCTACGAGTTGTCTGTAATGCAATTGGATGGGTGTATCAAGTTTGTTCAAGAAGAAACGGACAGTCACAATCCGGAGAGCAGTCATGAAGAAGTGCTTGCAGGCTTGGCCGAAATAAGAAACCGCCTTCAACGACGTCTGTATGAATCGGAGCTGGCTATCCTACAAAAAGATAGGGAGTTGGCAGATAGATTTGTGAGCGAGTCGAAGTTAAGGCAGGCATTGGAATTTACGGAAAAGGAATTAGTTTCTTCACAGGAAGATCTTGAGCAAGCAAGATCAAGGAGTGCCGGAAGTTCCAACCTTAGCCCTCATGAAGGTGAGGATGACAATAGAGATGGAGAATTTTGTGAACTAAAAGACTCGGTGGACCGACAGGTTTGGAAGATCAGAGAAAAACTCGAGTTTGATGATTATGAGCCTAAGGTGAAGAACAGACGGAATCATTGTATTAACGATGTAAAAGTTGAAGAGATGGGATCAGACATTGATATTTTGAAGGAAACTCTTGACATTGCGTTTGGAAAGATGCAGAGTGCCATTTTCTGTTCCGACATGGGACCAATAGAGCAGCAAGTAAAATCAAGTATTGAGAATGATATAATATCACTATGTCTTAATGGATTTGTGAGGGATTGCCAAGAGGATTTGGAAGCAGAAGCGAGAAAAAAAGAGAACCAAGTTTCAGTTTCCTTTAATGAACATTGGTCATATTTAATGAATGAAGCCATAGGTTTGTGTGAGGAGCTCAAGCCTCTCATTAGCCAAAATGAAATACAGCCCCAAAAAGAAGAAGAGAAGAGTTTCCAGGTAGATCTAGATGGTAGATTTTCAGAATATGGGATAAACAGGGATGAAAACGAGCTAGAAGAGAAGGGGAGGCATGATGTTGCTAAAATGGTCAAGAACCAAGCAGAAGAACTGGCTCTTTTGAGGCAAGAAATGCTTCGAGAGGAAAGTCGTGAAAGCTTGAAAAGTAGGTTCCAAGAAGTACTAGAAAAACTAGAGAATTTAAAGATTTTGAATGCTCGGATTAACAAAATTTTAGGCCAAAATTGGGATTTTGATGAAGAAGACATTCCTCCAGAAGATGGGAAGCAAATATTTACAGAAAATCATAGACAGAAATCAGATGTTGGTACTTTGGCAGACATCTGGGGCAAGATGCATCAACTGCGGAATGAAGAAAACAGAGGAATACAAAACCAAATCTGCATGCCAACGCACCAGAGAGAGGACATAAAATTTCAAAACATAATGACGGAAGAAATTTACACCACTTTATTCCGAGGGTTGAGAGAAAAGTTTTGTAATGATTTGAGTCGCTGGGAATTGGAGATACTGATTTCTGATGGTATATGCAGAATTTTCATTAGGGATATGTTCGATCAGTTGGATGAAACCATGGAAAGTTACAGCATTGAAGCCCAAATTAAAGATGATATATATCATATTTTCTTCATGGAGGCAATGAAAGGATACAGATTGCAGGATGTGAAGGACGAAAACCTCTATCTGGAAGGTTTGACATCTGATAATAACCCTTCTCGATGTTTGGAATACGAAACAAGGCAGGAAATTTATGGAATCCCCTTTACGGTAATGCTGAAGGAATGGCATAGAAACATAATAGAACATACATCTGAAATACTTCTTAGAGAAGAGATATCTTGGTTCGTCTTGAGTGAGACAATCAAAAGCATCTGTTACAAAGTCAACCATTGTCCACATACCAAATTCTTCAACGACTTTCTTCCCCAAATTACAATTAAAGAAGATGTCTGCTCAATTTTCTTGAGGGAAATGGTTACGGAATGGGAGGACACGATAGAGGCGTCTAACTTGGAAACTTTAATCAGGGAAGAAATTTATTGGACTATGCTTGATGAGGCAAAAAGTGAAGTCTGCGACAGAGAAAAGAATATTGATGTCCCAACTCAGGATAGTGACGTTACAGAAATTACATCATCTAGGAAAACACTAGGTGAAGGCACAGAGATTGGTCCGGGAAGTTTCTGTCAGAAACTAAGTTTGCTTTCAGAAGGCATTGAAGTAGTGGAAAACTTGGTGCTCAGTGCAAGTCTTGAGATAATGGATTGTAATAGTAAAGCTACCTCCGTAGAGTTGAAAGACATTCAATGCGTTCTCAATTCTTTGAGTAATAAGCTAGAGAAAACTATGATGCAGTTCAATAACAAGTTGTTTGTGGGCGAGTTGAAACCTAGCTTAGAAACTATAGTTGATGAAGCGAACAAAGTTTCTGAAATTTCTCCGGTTTTGGAAAATGTACCAGATACGAAGCTCTTGTTATCAGAACTTCATAATATGAAGCTAAGAAAGTCAGATTCTAAGTGCCTAAAACTTCTGGAGTTTCCACATATATTTTATGATTTCGAGCTGATGGCAAATAAAAAGTTGGGACAATTGACGATGAGGTACTAACCTCATAGTGCCTTCTGGTAAAGTTTCATTTGATCTTCCTGAGCGGAAAAAACTGGGGCTAATTGCACCTCTACCTGTTATCAAACCAAATAGCTTAAACAAAGTTTACTTCCTCAAGAGAAAACCAACTCTTGAAATACTTGGACAAAAAATTTGTTGTTTAAAGGAAATAAACTTACCTCATGTTTTACTGTTGATAGATTGGAAGAAATGAAGCATACTTTGTATCCACTTCCTCAAGTCATGGCTTCTCTGCGAGAAAGTGAATCACTTTATAAGAAGGCTTTCATCAGAAGATGCCAAAATCTCAGAAAAGCTGAAAATGAGGTTCTATAATCAATTTCTAATACAGATATTTTTCCTTCATTATAGCATATTCCCCACGCATTCAAAGATACATCCAATTCTGAAAACAATTTTCAGTCATTTAATTGTTTTCCCACATTTCCTATTTGATATACATTAGGTGGATCTTCTAGGGGATCAAGTGGATATACTTCTTAGATTGATTGAGAAAGTATACTTGATTCTGAATCAACAATCACCGGTTTTGCAGCAATATTCTGATGTAAGAGATCCCCAAGTCTATTTTCTTTATTCTATGTTTATGTACCAATCTCATAGCAATTAACTTGCATTAATTTTTAACTGTTACTTTCTTTCAATATCTCTGCAGGTCTCAGAAATTCTCAGGTTGATCAAGGAGCAGGTAGCAGTACTTAGTACACCACCTAAAAAATTAGATACAAGCTCTGATGTTTAACCCTATTCTTTTTATCTGTTTTAGGCCCAAAGGAAATTGTTCTATAGGATTTATTTAGTTGTAGATCTTTCAGCAACAACGAAACTGCTAACTAACAAAATTTGGTGGTATAGGTAAACCAAAATTTCAAGTACATACTTCCGGGAACGCAAAAGGTTCACTTTCAAAAAATGTTTGAGTACTTCACGGTGATTTTTTTAAAATAAAATATAATCCTCGCCATGCGGACACCAAATTTTTTTTATGAATATAAAAGGTGGAGAAACTTTAAGATATGAAAGTTTTTAAGGCTTCCTTTTAAGTTATTTGCATAATCTTTTTCTAACTTCGGTTCTCCTTGAGTTAAAGCAATTTTGGAATAACTTTATTTGTATTCCCCTTCACTCTAATACAACTAAGCATTCTTTGTTATATTTCCTCACTTAATGAAAGTTTCCTTTTGTTCCTACATAACATATAGCATGTGCACCAGTGAAGAAGCACATGAACTCAGGAAGTACGAGTCTAATAACCAAAAGAAAGCACGCTCTACTAATTTTTGCTATTAGTTTACTGTTTACTGGTTTTTGCTTACTCAGGACGGTATTGTCAACAAAACCTATTATTGCATGAACTCAACATGTATATTTAGAATATATCAAAATCGAATAACAATTATGAATCTACCGATGATGGAAAAAAAATATTAAAGGATAACTAAAATCCACACAAAATTAAGACTACGAAAAAAGAAACAGGAACATCCGAAATGATGAAAATGGTGACGCTTACAACTTCGACAAAGTTAATAAGAAATATTATAGCATTCCATTAAATGATAAAGAGAAACTTAATTTGGAAAAATAATTTTTTAAAAATATTTTAGAGAATATGACACCTAGTGCTTCTAAATGCATGTAACAATCGAAAATGAACAGAATCAAAATTCAAATCATAATGTTGTTAAGCTTAAGAGGTAGCAACTCGATCCTTGAATATATAAAACTTTCTATAACTAAAATTTGCAAAACATAATGCTCTACAAATCCAAAAGATACTGCAATCGCATTACATAAAATTGCAGAAAATTAGGTAGTATGAAATACAAAGAAGGATAAGAAGTTCGTCAGGTAGTTACTTAAAATAATGGTTCACAGTCTGAGAGCAATAAAAGATTACATATAACATTAATGTAAAGCGGATTACGCCAAAAAAGAAATAGTGATAAACAAGAAACCACCTCTGAAGATCGTCGATACACAGTTCGGCTAACTATTCAATTCACACGTCAATAAAAAGCAACGCCGACGCGAAATTGTCTTTCAAAATAACAATAACTATAGAAAATCTATCCTAAGTCAAATGGAGATATTTAAAAACAAGACACAAGTCAGCAACGGATGGATCAAATCAATCAACTCGAAACCTAATCTAATCCAGTCGAGGAACAAAAACTTTCAAGAAACTATTCGATAATGAGCAAACACAATAATTAATTTAAGAAACTACTTGATACTAAGCAATCACGGTAATTAATGTAAGAAATTATTTGATCCTGAGGAATCACAATAATTAATGAAAGGAACTATTTGATTTTCCTCGTCGACTAATCAAAATCGAAGAGTAAGAAGGAATTACGAGACATAGCAATCACGATTAACGATAAAAGAAGAAACGATTAAGAATTCCGATAACAAAATCACTGACTCAAACTATGGATCGCAAAAGATCGTTCATCTGAAATACCTGTTTACGATATCGAAAGCCACCAGAGCTTCGAAGGTCGAACCGTTGTATAATCGTACATATCGTCGGAGCAAATTTAAAAGAAACCATCATTTCTTCGCGCGCAATTTTGCGACATAGAAGTGACGCCGAGTACCCGCTCCTACCTTTATATAGTATCACGACTATCGAAACGGTGACGTTTCGCGTACAGTGGGTAAATGGTAAATCGGTCTGTCTGTTTTACGCAGTTGCAACAGACGGCGACGTTTTACCCAGCGGTCAAGTGACTGTGTCACATGAAACCTTTTTTTACGGAGGAGAAAATCGTACATTGGTCTGCGTCTGTTTAACGCAAAACGGCAGCGTTTTATTAATGATTAATAGGCTGGGCCACTATATTAGAAACTTAATGGACTCATCAAGCCCAGTTAGATTATTGCCTAAGCCCAGCCCAAATGGTCCTTCCTATGGTTCACATCCATTTAAAACCTAATATTTTAATATTAATTACTTTTAATATACTATATTATGCAATTATCTTTTTTTCCAATTGAAAATTGAAATTTCAACCAAGGGGATTAATTAGCTCATTATTTTAAAATAATGTCATCACCTGTTTAGTTTAAAGAAAATTAAAAATAAATAAAAGATTTGTAGAATTCATCCTAATCAAACTTGCAATGGAACTCAACCGAAATAATTAAGGCTGTTTGCAGATTTCTCGACGGCGGCTCACTCCCCTCCGGCCGCCGTTGTAGAGGCATCTACGGTGGCCCTACTTCGGAGCCACTCAACCATATCCCCAAAAACAAGCTCCACATTCTCTCTAGGTTCTCCAATCAATTGGTGCCACATACCTGGATATATCTTAAGCGTCTTGTCCCTACTGGCGGCGCGTCGGTACAGCTCCTCCACGCACGCCGGATCGCAGATCACATCGCCGCCGCCATGCGTTATCAGTAGAGGAACCTCCACCTCGTTGAACCTCTCCTGCAACTCTCTGCACACTCTCATAAGTTCCTGTGCCGTCGCAGCGCGAGGACGCGCCGCCACACGTCGAGGACTCGCCATCGCAAGCTTCCGCTTCCAATCGACTTTGAAGGATACCTCTGGTATAGATCCGCGGGTGGGAACCACGCGCCAAGTCGGAATCAGAGCGGCGGCTAGGGACAGAAAGTGCTCCAGTGGCCATGGCGGTTTGAACTTGGCGCTGATTCCGCACATGGCGCCGTTCAGAACGACACCGTTCCACGATCGCAAGCCCTGGGTCGTCGATTTCTGACGGAGCGTTATCAGAAGAGCAAGCGCACCGCCGAGCGACTCGGAGTAGAGGAAGGAAGGCAACGACGGCGCGTGACGCTCACGAAACGCGTCAAAGAACGTAATACAGTCGTCAACAACGGGATTAATGTCAGGTATGTGATACTGAAGGCCGTCGGAGAATCCATGGCCTTGATGATCGATAGCGCAAGTGATAAATCCGGCTTTGGTAAAATGCACGGCGGTAAGTTGAACTAGCCAGCTAGATTCGCCGGTGAAGCCATGAACGACGGCGACGATTCCGATTGGCTTGACCGGAGCGAGAGGGATCCACCACTGAGTGAACAGCTTAAGGCCTCTGGAATTGGCGATGAACTCGGAGCCGTGACTCACAGAATGGTGAGTGTAGAACTCGTCCTCCGTAAGAGAGCCGAAGGGGCTCCGCTCGTCGGCGTCTTCCACCGGATGAACCATTTCCCGGTCGGAGGATATGGTAGTGTTGCAGGGCGGGAAAGTGCTAATTTGCGCTTTTGAGGGAGGGAAAAATTAGGAAGGGGAAGTGAAAGAGATGTGATTTTGGTAGTTAACGCATTTCAGGTATGCTTGGGAGTAGTTTTTACATTAATTTTAGATTTTTATCACATACCTTAAAGAATTTCTTCCCTTTTTTTTGTTTGGTTAATGTCTATTAATTAATTTTAAAAATTTAAATCAATTATTATAAATTAGTTTTCACTAATTTGCACTAATAATTGTATTAATTATTGAAATTAAAAGCCTAAAATATTTAAATTTAAGAATTAACTCAGTATTTAAATATAAAAATGTTAAATTAATAAAAATATCTATAAATTTTACATTTTATCTCAAAAATATTCATTATCTCAAAACTAGTTAACTTTTATTTAAATTTAGTACCGTAAATATATTTTTAAATTTTTTTAAAAAAATTTAACAATATCTTTAGAGGATGATGAAATCATTTTGAAAGTTCCAAAATATTTTATTCTCAAAAGGTTCAAAATAAAAAGTTAAAAAGTACCAAAAAAATAATGTTTTAACTTTTTTACTACTAGTATGTGAGACAAAAAGTATGAAGGTAATTCAATTAATTTATCCTTATTTTTATTTTGACAGTAATAGATAAGTTAATTATTTGTTTAATGTAAATTAGTCTAAGAGAATAATAATAAATTAATTAAATTTTTAAATATTTGTTGGAAAAATTCAATCTCTTTTACGATGAAGAGTATGATAGGGATAAGATTATTGGGCAACGAAATAGGGGCAGAAGAAAACTAAGTTTGATAACCCAAGTGGCTACAATAAAGCAAGATTAAAAGTTCATCAATACTACAAGAAGAATGGGAAAATAAACATAAAAGTGCTTAAAATGGGCTTTGATTTTGGAATGCGATCAAACGGATGGGCTGCTCCTGAAAGAGCCGAGAGCCTTGACGGCGCCGGCCCTCAAAATGAACTGGTGGTAGAAGGCTGCGATGGCGGCTCCCACGAATGGCCCAACCCAAAATATCCACTGCAAAACCCCCCACAACCCATTTCACACTTGGTTAGAATTTTAATGGAATAATATTTAGTGAATTTAAACAGATATGATATATAAGAGATTCTAACTTGATCATTCCACGGTTTTTCATGGTTCAAGATAACAGCCGGGCCGAAGCTTCTAGCCGGGTTGATGCCGGTGCCGGTGATGGGGATCGTGGCCAAGTGAACCATAAACACAGCAAACCCAATTGGGAGAGGAGCCAATACCTTTATATATATATAATTTGTAATTAAAAAAATAAAATAATTAGATTTTTATAATACTAAAAAAATAATTAAAATGATCTATGCATCAAAAATATTATTTGTAAATGAAAAACAGGGTAAGAAGGCCCATAGAATCTAATTACAAAACTCCAAAAGAATCAAAATTAGGTAAGAAAAAAACAAAATTCGAGAAGCAAAACTTAGACTAATAAAATAAATCATTTTCTTTAATAAAAAATTGCAAAAAGTAAAAAGACTAAAGAAAACGTGACATTAAAGAGTTAAAGGTAAGAACATAAAAGAAGAGGCCAAAGAGGTGATGGACAGGCAACGTGAAGCCTCAACCCATAATATAATAATAAAAAAAATATTATTTGAAAATTTAGATAAAAATTGGAATCTAAACTGACCCAAAATGCAAGAGAAAAAACAGGGAACGGGCTTAATGGTCACGCACACGTCCAAGATTAAACAGCTTTTTTCTTGGACGGAAAGGGTTGTGAGCTGTAAGGTTCAGGCTCACATTGAATGCCCCCTTTCTTAAAACGAGTGTTGCATGGGGAAAGAAAAAGCCACATCCTCAGAGAAAGCATTGGGCCATAATATATGGAGAAAAGCCACCATTTTTCTTAGGATACAAACAAAACTTTGAGCTTTAGGATCTGGGGAACTAAAACCCTTTTCCTTTATGTTCATTTTCAAAATTATTGTTTTGTTATTATTAGAACAAAAGGATAAATTTAAGAAGAGAAGAGAAGACGTACAGGGACATGGGAGTCTCTAGCGCTTCGCTTGGGATCAGTGGCGGAGAAGACGGTGTAGACCAAGATAAATGTACCGACGATTTCAGCCCCCAAGCCGGTGCCTTTAGAGTAGCCGAGGGCGAGCTGGTTCGCACCGCCGCCGTACTTGTGGTAGTAGGCCTTTTGGAACGCTTTCACTAGCCCCGTCCCGCATACGGCCCCTAAGCACTGAGCCACCATGTACGCCACTGCCCGCACCAACGACACCTTCCGAGCTAAGAATAGCCCGAATGTCACCGCCGGGTTGATGTGCCCACCTGTAGTTTATTTTAGCATAAAATTTATCCATTAATGAATATATATTAAATACATCAAATTATACCAGATTTAAAAAAATCCCAAATAAAAATAACATTATTAACTAATCTATATTATTTATTAAAATAAAAATAATTTCAAAACCACTATGGAAGTAGATAAATTCTAAAGGAAAATTTTCTTAAACAATAAATATATTTTATTTTATTTCATTATTTAGGCTAATAGTACTTCAAAAATTAAAAATTAAACGATTATTAAGAGAAAAATATATTATAACGCATTATATAACTTTTTCCTTAAATATGGTCCATGTAATGTGATCCTGTGGTCCTGATGTTTCCATTTAAAGTCGGTCACGTTATTAAACAGTTGATACACTGACCTGAAATGCCGGCGGTGCAGTAGACAAGGACGAAGATCATGCCGCCAAAGGCCCAAGCGATGCCGAGGATCCCAACGCCGTCGCAAGCGTCGGCGCCGGGTTTGTCAGTGTCGGTCTGGCTACTGTAGCCAATCACAGTCAAGATGGTGACATAGAGAAAGAGAAGAGTGGCGATGAACTCAGCAATGATGGCCCTGTAAAAAGACCACTTGCCGAGCTCCGCCGCGTCGAAGAGCGGAGCCGGTGGAGGGTCGTGGTAGTCCTTGCCTGAGAACCCTCTCGCCGCCGTCGCGTCGTCTTTCGCCATAATCTTAATAAAGAAATCAGAAAGAGAGAGAGAGATTGGGAAAGGGACTGAAGTCTGGGCGAGGAAAGGAGGAGAGGAGGTGGGGGATTTATATGGGGGGGGATGTATTGTCGTTTAAGTAATTTATTATTTTCTACGATTTTTTTTTTTTTTAATTATTCTTCTTCGTATCCCCATTATTATATTTGTTGTTTTCGTCTTTTTATTACATAATAAATTATAATTTTAGTATGAGAAATAGCTTCTTATATGATGTTGTCACGCAATGGTGTGTATACTAAATATTGGAAAGATTATTAAATATTGTTGCTAATTAATATATTTATATTTTATTTGGTTATTATTTTCTTAAAATCAATATTTAATTACCACATTAAATGGGAAGGGGGAAGAGAGTAGGGGCCGGGAGGGGGAGGGTATGGTGAGGAGTCAAAGAGAGGGCGTGGGGGAGCTGAGGGAGGGTTTCAGAGGGCAGAGGGTACGGAGGGCGTTCAGATAAGGACACCGTCCTCTCTTCCATGGGGTCATCGTTACATCCTTCGCTCAATACACACTCTTCCCTAGGCCAACCCCCTCCTCTTCTTTCCTGTCAAACATCAACGTCTTTCCGCCAATTACACGTTCTTAACGTGGACGGCTCCGATTTCTCCTACTTCTACACGTGGCGTTCTTTTCTCTCTCTGAACTATTGCTACCTACATTATTTATTTTACTATTTTACTAAATAAATTAAAAAAAATAGGTGAAAAATCTTCCAAGTACGTACCGGTATCACCTTCTTTTTACTCTCTCGAATAAAATTATTATTATTATTATTCTATTTTTACTAATTTCAAAAAAATAACATAAATAAATAAAAGTAAAAATATAGGAATTAATAATTTCAACCATATTAATTTTAACATAAATTCAAATTTGATTGATGCCAATTAATCATCAAATTTCATATTTTTTAAACTCTAAATACTTATAATAATTACCTCGATCTTCAACTAATTAGAAATCATCCACGGTTTGATACGATATCCAAAATGACTAAAGCATCGATAGAGCTCGAATAGATAGATATTCGGGATGTCTGAATGAAATGATCGAAACGTAGCTCTGTTCCCAACGAATGTATACAAGCAAGTCAAGATGTCTTATGTGTCCTAAGACATAGGACAACATCATGATGCATGGGTCGTGTTATTGGGAACTTAGATGACAATGAGATGCGACATTGTTAGGTTGCAACGATTGAACATTCATGCACGAACAACGTGTGGTTCATATCTTATCAACGTGGATAGCCGAACAAGTTTGGATTTTGCACAAGAGATGTTCAGTTAGCGAAAGTAAACCTTGTCGACGATTTGACAAAGTCACAAAACTATGTGGAAAATGAATATAGTGCTTGAATGTCCTTAAGGCTTGTCGTGAGCATAAGCATGTCATAGTTAAAACATACCATCCAAACTATGGTTGTTAATAAGTACTAAAATGAATGGTAGTTAGATATTTAACTACCACACTAATTATTTTCAATTAATATATATATATATATATATATATATATATATATATATAATTGAAGTTATTGAAAGAGGCAAAAGCCTGTAGTCTGGGCCGTACTGAATTATTTCCAGATAAGTGCAGAAATAATCACGTACAAATCGGACAATAGCAATATCTTTATGTCCGGACAGTAATATCCAAATTATTATTATTATTATTATTTTATTTAAATATCAGAATGAGATAACGATAATAATCTTGGAAATATATTGTTTATGTCTGGACAAATCGGAGCCAACTATTTTTTCTGTTCAGAAAAACGAATTTTCACGTGGATAATTAATGATCAATATTTTATTTTAAATAAATAATTGTTTTTAATTTATAAGCAATCTCAAGATTGGTAGACTGCCTTTATGTAAGGCATTCTTAATCCTTTTTTTCCCTTAAAAAATGAGACAACCTTATTAATTACAAAAAATATCTGCAATATATATTACATAGTTTTTTATATTTGGAATTTAAAGTATTTGATAAGAACATGGCTTGATTTCGTTCAAGGGAAAAAATGGAAGATTTAACGTATTTTCATTT